AATTCAATGAATTTTGTCACATTTTCTATAAGATCATTCCTATAGCAAATAAACATGCTGTTACTTCTTTCATCTGAAAGCAGCAAAAACAAAAAACTCCTCATACTGCTTCCTCTTCTGCATACTGCCCATTTTTCTAATTCTTTTTTCAGAAAAATTCCTTGAAAAAGATGTCTCATAAACCATATCTCCACTCTCTCTCCTCCCATATTCTATTGAACCCACTCCAAACTTTTGTCTCCAACATGCCAAAGAAATTCTTCTCATAAATATCACCACTGATCAACAGTAATCAATTCTCAGTCCTTTAATTTAATATTAGGAGCATTTTACACAGTTAATCACTCCCTCCTCCACTGAACAGTTTCTCCACTTGGCTTCCAGGTCACCACACTCACCTGGTTTCTGCCCACCTCTTTTCAGTCTAATTTTCTGGTTTTTTCTCATTCCATTCTAAACATGGAAGTAGCCCAATAAAACACAGTTCTTATTCCTCTTCTTTCCCTCTTTAGTAATGCAAGGAATTACTTCATATATTCCATGGCTTTAAAAACCATCTATGGGCTGATGACTCCCAGACCTCTCTCTTGATACCAGACTTGTATGTCCAACTGCCTCCTTGACTACACTACCTGGATATCCAGTTGGCATTTCAAACTTAACATGACCAAAGCTCTCACCCTCAGCTTGCTCTTCTTAAAGCCTTTCTGGACTGATCTTGGACTTAGATTGAGAAGATGGCTATCTATGAGGAAACAGGCCTTCACCAGACATCAAATCTGCCAGCACCTTGATCTTGAACTTACCAGTTTCTATAAATGTGAGAAGTAAGTTTCTGTTGTTTATAAGTCGCCCATTCTATGGTATTTTGTTACAGCAGCCCAAACAGACTAAGACAGTGCACCATCTGTTTCCAGCATGGATGGTGACTGTTATAAGTGGCTACAGCAATAATTCAAGTGGGAGATACTGGTAGCAGTGGAAATGGAGTGAAGTGGCTAGCCTCCTGCTTATATTTTGAAGATACAGCTGATTGAATTTTCTGATGAATGAAATATAGCATTGAGAGAAAGAAAGGAGTCAAGACTGACTTCAAAGCAGTAGGCTTGAGAAGTTGAAGAACAGAGTTGCCACTTAATGGGACCTGAAAGACTTCAGGAAGAGCAAGCTGGAGTGGGAGCTTTTGTCATGTTAAGTTTGAAATGCCAAATAGATAACCAAGTAGTGTTGTCAAGGAGGCAGCTGGACATACAAGTCTAGTATCAAGGCATGGACATTACAGGAAATTAGCAAGCAATAGTCAAGTGCCCTGTGTCTAGCAGGCAGTGGGGACCAGTGAAGTTATTCCTACCCTTAGACTTGAAGGAACAAGATGTGGAAGTAATTACCAGAACACGCACACACATACAACACAACCTGTATTCTTAGTGGACCAATTTAGTCAGACTAAGGCAACCACCAGGAAGGGAGATGGAGAAAAGAAGACCATGAACTCACTCTCCCCTGTCTTCTGATCTCCTGATCACAAACCCAACTGCACCCCAAGCAAGAAGACAAGAGAACTTATTAAAGGCAGCCTCCTAACTTCGTGTGTTCCTCTAGGGCAAAGAGCAGGGTGGGAAAATGTAGAGAGGTGATCGGAGCAGAGAACAAAATGTATCCAGCAAATATCCTCATCTGCAAATCAGAAATAAATGTTGTTACCATGGGGTGAAATGAAATAATCTATATAAAGCATTTTGCACAATGTCCGGCATATAGTTTTTAGGCGGGCAGGGTAAACCCTTATTGCCTGGCATCATATTTCCAAGAGTGGATTTTTGTAGAGTGATGCTTTCCCAACTTCAGGTAATGACCAATTAGTGAGTTGTGAACTTAATAGGTTTCCCAGAACTTTTTTTTAAGAAATAGAAAAGACCAGCATTCATCTCATAAGTATTGTCTCATAAAACATAAATTTCAATTATGTATATTTTGTGTGTGTGTGTGTGTGTGTGTGTGTGTACGCGCGTGCGCGCGTAAGTACGTATTTGTTCCTTGGGTCACAATGTAAAATGTATTTCTTATTAAGGGTCATGGTCAAAATATGTTTGAAAGTCACAATGCAAGAAGAACACTCAGGTACTCCTTTTCACCTCTTACTTATTCCTACCCAAGAAGTGACTTACCTGATTAACAAATTTCGAAGGAGGAGAAATTGAGATTTGCTAGAATCCTTTCTTATTCTCTTGTCTCTGCTAGTCCCCTCCTTTGTCTTCTTATTCACTGTAGTAAACTAAATAATGGCCCCCAAAGATATCAATTCTAATTCCTGGAACCTGCAAATATTACCTTACATAGAAGAGTCTTTGCAGCAATGATTAAGTTAAGGGCCTTGACATGGGAAGATTATCCTGATTATGGGAGGGCAGAGATTGGGAGAAGGTCCTAAATGCAATTACATGTATCCTTTAAGAGGAAGCAGAAAGAAATTTACATTCAGAAGAAAAGAGTGATGTGAAGACAGAGTAGAGTAAGATTTCGAGATGCTGGCCTACAAGGCTGCAGTGATTCAGTCATAAGTCAAGGAATGCTGACAGTCACTAGAAGCTAAAAGAAACAAAGACTGATTATTTATCCATTCATCAGCTGATGGACATTTTTAAAAATTACTTTTAAAAGCTCTTTCCAGGATCTCAGCAGGTAGGGGAAGAGATTATCAGACTTAAATCTGTGAGTGAGGCATTATGAGAATCAGGGAGGCCTCTGCACAGCAATTTGCACTCTGGCTTCCCTCATAACAATAATAGCCCCACAATGTGTTTTGACTATGTGCACAGCACAGGATGCATATAATCTCTATATTCACAAAAATTTGGTAAGGTAGTCATTATTATCCTTGTTTTAAAATGAGGAAATTCGAGTCAGAAATAACTTGTCCAAGTCACAAAACTAGTGACAGAGCCAGGATGTACCTCTAGTATGATCTGCCTCCAAATACAGAGCTGTCTCCACCTCAGCAAAGTGTCTTGCTGTGTTGCCTGCCCTTAGTTTCCTGAGGCTGCGCTTCTGTGCGGTAAACCTGTTCCTCAAGGAAACTGCATGCCATAGTTTGTACATACCAAAAATATGCATAATAAATTTTTCCAGGTGGCATTGTAGCTTGTTTCTGCCAATTTGGTCCCAAGGCCTTAAGTTTCATTTGATTATTTCTTTTGTAATTGTTGGGTGAAAACTAACTAAAAGGGAAGGAAGCAAAGGAGGAAGATATACACTTAACACTAGTGTCTCAGTGCTGGATGTCACCTTAAATCATGTTATGACAATAAATCACATCACAAAAATCTTTTTAAAAAAGAGCTCTTCTAGCCCTAGATCCAAATTAAAACTGTTTTATAGATAAGGAAAACAAAGCAAGAAATTTGCATATCTGTCTAGTAACCAACAAACTAATCAAAGAATTGCACTGCCACGTAAACAGAGTTTTAATATTCTGTAAGTTCTAAGTGGGAAGTAACTCCAAACTTCCTTTGATCATCCAAACATCACATTGTAAAACTTCCATTTATTTTTCTCTTCTCAAGCATTTACATAAAGATATATGAAACTGATGCCCTGTGTTACCAAACCGAAATAGCTTGCAGCAAAGCTAATATGTTTACACCGGGATTGCAGTGATGGAAACAGAGGCGTTTTATTATTGCAAAGCGCCAAGCAAGGACAGGTAGCTCACGCTAAAAACTCAAGCTCCCTGATTGGCTGGTGGCAAAGGTTTATATAGGATAAAATCATGAGTAAGGGTCTTGCTGCATGATCAGTCAGCTCACAGCCAGTGCTGATTGGGTGCCAGTTGTGCAATCAACAAGTTATTCTTGGAATCTTCCATTCAGTCTTGGGGCTAGTTCCAGCTGTCAACTGGTAGTCATGAGCTCCTTTGGGGGAGGTCTTGGTTTTCTGGAAAACAACTCAGGGACATGCCTCAGTGATGTTATCTATATCCCCCAAAAGGGTAATGCAAAGTCTTATAACTCTGATTCAGATCTATAGGTATTGTTACCTTATACCTGGTGAAACTTTCCGATCTTTGTCTTTTAACTACAATCACTAGCTAGTATATTACATATTAACTGAAGGCCAGGGACTCAGGATCTATGGAACTTTCCACCTAATTTTTGAGGGGCCTGCTCAGCTTCATAAGGGCAAAATCAAGCCCTACATTTTATTTGGGGAGAAAGGGAAAAATTTTAAATAGCACTTTTCAGTTGCAGGATTTTGAGATCCCGTGATCAGAATATCAAATCTTTGAAGTGGTAATCCCATTCTACAAAGTGAAAACTAAAAACATTCACAGAAATTCCTGTCAAGTCACATCTTTAAATAAAATGGGGTTTTGTTTTTTTATTGGATTGATTGATTGATGGGCTGGCTGGTTGGTACGGGGCTCGAATCCTGGACTTTGGTGTTATCAGCACCACTAAATAAAGTTTTTTTAAATAAAAGAATGCTACTGAGCAACCCCCGAAACACAGCGTGGTTTGTTCGTTTGGTTTGTTTGCTACACTGAGTTCCTACATATTTGTTTGGCTTCACAGTGGAAATCTGGTTTCCGTAGTGTAGTGGTTATCACGTTCGCCTCACACAGTGGAAATCTGTCACAGCATGTTTAGGTATACTCACTACCCCTCACAATAATAAACAAACAAACAGAATGGTAAAGCGAGGAAAGGAAAGGAAGGAAAAGAGGTGCTAAGAGGTAGGAAAGGAAAACCGTTCTGAGTAAGACTGTAGAGAATTTCCTATGCCCTTCCTCACCCATGTCCTACCTCGCAAGAACTTCCAAATACCCAAAGGCCAGGAGCAAAGGGCAGAACACACACAGCCGGCCCACACAATGAGGCGCCAACCCGCCCACCCTTCATCCAACCCGAAGTCGCGTTCTCCGTTTGCCCACTGCATGAACAACCTTCCCGACTGCGCGTCCCCCTTTTACGACAGTTTTCCGACCGAACTTACGGCCGCTACTGCCGTATTCGTAGGGCGCCTGTGCTTAGGGGGTTTGTGCCTGGTGGTGGTTTCCTCGTCGCTTTCTGGTAAAGTTGGTGGCTGCGGCCCCTAGGCTGGGATGAATCGCGCTCCTGGTGGAGGCACGGGAGCCAAGCCAGAGCCATGGTGAGTGCGGCCTTCCGGTCTCTTGGGCGACCTCCCCCCAGGCCTCAGCCTCAGCCTCTGACCTCAGAGGAATGGAGCTGAGCTTGTGCTCCCCAGTGGGGCTCTGGGCGGGAGGTTTAGGTTCCGGCGCGTCATTCTCTCCAGGACACAAAGCTCTTGGCTCACCCTCCTGGGTCTTTGTGTTCTTACAGCGTCTTTCTTCAGGGGGTTCCAGCCCCTGGTCCCCCGTCCTCGACTCTGGGCGCGAAGGCTTTGCTCCCCTTGAACGTCTGTAAGGTCAGAGCCAGTCATGGACCCGGAGATTAGTCGAACCGCTTTTGGTTATATCTGCCCCTCCCTTAACACATCCTCACAGTACTTGCTCCTCTTTATTGTATCCTTCCCCTTTGGCTCTTGCTGACATAGATCTCTTACCGTTTCCTGGACATATTTGGGCCCGTCTTCTGTTAGGACAAGACGGTGAGGCGGGACTGTGCTGAAGGGGCTCTGAAAAGCTAGTTTCCTCGTTACACCCACTTTTATCGTTGAAAATGCCGTATCAAAATTTTACAGGCGCCGTCTATAAACAGTTCTTTCTTCCTTAGCAGAAACGTTATTTCCATTGCTCTAGATTGAACTTTAATGTGATTTCCTTGCCCTGGGGTGAAAAAAGTTTACAATGGAGGGAATCGTCCTTTTCATTATTGCAGAGGTAAATAAGCAAGTCGACTTACCCTCTTCTTCCATAGTGAAAATCTCGTACCTTTACAATGCATTGAGTATAAAAGTTAGCAGTGGTTTTAAATGTTCATTAGGCAGAATATTTTTTCCTTAAAAGTTGTTTCTCCCACGGAAATGAAACGTAATGAGTTGGGATGGGAAAATGGGCATGAAGAGGAATGGTGGGAATTAGGGAAAGTAAATATTTACTTTTTCCCTTTACCAGGCCAGTACAGTGGTAGCAGTTGGACTGACTATTGCCGCTGCAGGATTTGCAGGTAGGTTTACGGTTTGGGAGTGGAAGTGAAGTAGGGGAGATTGGGGATTTATTTACCTATTCTATTGCTCTTGGTTTTAGGCCGTTATGTTCTGCAAGCCATGAAGCATATGGAACCTCAAGTAAAACAAGTTTTTCAAAGTCTGCCAAAATCTGTAAGATGTACTGAACATTTTTGCTAATTCTTTGCTGCCTGTGTTTGAAGCCTAGAGCTACAATTGAGGAAGGGTATTTCCAAACATCCACAGAGTTCTAAGTGATTGCTTTGGGCCCCTTCTCTTGCTTCCCCACAAGGAGGGTGTAGAAGTTTTGAACTTTGTAATGATGATCCCTAGAAAATCAAATGTTATATGTGACAGAATTAGATGTGCAGTGTTAATTCTAGTATTGTGAAAATAACACTTTATTGTTCATCCACAGTTAACTTCAGCATCATCTGCCCATATTCTTGCCTTCTCTCATCTACTCTGCATCACAAGCACAGAGGGATCTAGGGATCAAAGGGGATCCATTCTTCTGTATGGCCCTGGCACTCCCTAACATGATATTTAGCTAGCGCTGCAGTTAATTAGGGTATAGGGTACGAGTAGATGTGATAATCGTACCTTTTGTGGTCACAGTTAAAAATAAATTTGGCTGTGACAACCTATTGAACATTTGTTTTCATGTTGTGATTAAACGTGACAGAAGAGAGTGATGGCAAGCTGTACCAGTATGATTTCTGAACTGATAGCTTGATTTTCTCAATACATATTTTACCCTTGTTTTAGTGGTTGCCTTGAACCTCCAAATACACTTAAAGCCATCTCAAAACACCTCCAAATCCTCCTCTGGAAGCAGTTCTAGTTCTAAGCCATATTGTCATATTATGAGATAAAATTTTTACCTAGAATATGGCTAGCTTGGGATGATCTTCATCCCCCTTCTTTCTTGGAAGAACTGGCATTGAGACACTGGTTTTTTGTCTTATATTCCCAAGACAATTTATATTGTTTAGAAAAAATTGATGTGTTTAATGATCATTAAAATACTGTTTGCTGCTACTTATAAAGTTAAACGTCATGGGAATTGCACTTAAAGTTCTCTGAAATGTCTTAGTTTTTCTACTGGTTCTATGAACATTTACAAACTTTTTTTTAGCAACTTTCAGTTTATTCTATTATCTTATTAATGCATTTCCTCTTTCAGGCCTTCAGTGGTGGCTATTACAGAGGTGGGTTTGAACCCAAAATGACAAAACGGGAAGCAGCACTAATACTAGGTGTAAGGTAAAATAATTTCTAATATTTTAAAATATTTTTCTACAACTCTAGAGCTAAGAGGAAATGTAAAAAAGACCTTCTCCCCTTTATTGAGGGATTCTGTGCCAGGAAGATTTATAATATCAGTTCTAGTCAATGGAGCCTTACTGTTCCTTCCACGTACAGTAAGGTCTAAACATTCATACAAAAGTCAAATGAGAAGGCACACTGACATGTAAGCACTTTTTCATTCATTGAAAGATAGGACTTTTCAACAGATCACAGTACTCAGTCTTCTAACTGAGTAACACATTTTCTGTGGTGAAATTCCGCCTTCATTTCCAAATACTTAAACATGCTTTCATTCCAATAGGACTGCTGTAATGAATATTATCAAGTTCAATTACGTTTTTGAGAATGCCTTACTTTTCTAAGGAGCAGTTTAGTTCCTTCATTCAGAATATGCACTTTCTTTCTGTATTGAGGTTACTAAGCAGCTTTTCATACTGTTGTTTTGATGTACTGTAGTTGTACAATATCTTTAATTGGCTTTTATATTCAATTTTTTGATGTGATCCAGAAGACTGAAATAATACCTTTTCCTTTTTAATCAGCCCTACTGCCAATAAAGGAAAAATAAGAGATGCTCATCGACGAATTATGCTCTTAAATCACCCAGACAAAGGTAAGTAGTCATAAACCTTTGTTATATGAGGGTGCTTCAAAAAGTTCACAGAAGCATTCATATTATCTTTTAATTCCATTTTTCACGAACTTTTTGAAGTATCCTTGCACATGCTGGGGTGACTGTTATTAATGTAATAATTTTACATCTACTTCTTGGCTTTTATAAGGGAAATGTCTAAATATTTGTGTGAGCACTGTCTGTGTGCTTTTGATGTCATAAAAGAATAAATTCTGAGTGAAAAATTTATCTACAGAATGAGCAGATCTAAGGATTACTAAAATTTGGAAGTAGTGATAAGCATTAACAATGTCTTGAGATCTACAGTTGTGATAGAATGTGACTTCTAGTGGTTACAGTCATAAATACTAACACTATGTTTTGTTTGGGTTTCTTTTTTTTATAATTAAATGTTAAATTCCAATTAATGAAATTAAAATGTAACTTTTCCCAATCCATCTTAGATACTTTGAATTGGGGATTACCAAGTTAGAAACCTATGGGATGTATCTGTTTCTGTTACATTTCTAAGTAGCCTTGGCTTTGTTGAAAGAAAGCAACTCCTTTGAATGCCAGAACATATACCACAAAATCTATATTCCAGTGCTCAGATCCTTTTGCTTACATAGGAGAGGCCTTTCATTAAGAGGGTTTTGACAGTTTAAACAGGAACATAGTTATTTGGTATTTGACCTCACAGCGTATTTTATTAAACTTAGCTTGTCCTTTCTGGAGGACTGATTTTTCTGCCAAATTTCTTGTTGATGTGGTCTTAGGACCACATTTTGAGAATCACTGCTCCAGCAAATTAGTAGAAAAGCAGCTGTAGAGATGACATTGTAAAGGAACAGCTGATAATAGGAAAAGAAAAAAACTGTGAAGGACAGTAAAAGGATCTAAAGCAAACTTGGGTCTTTCCAAACCAAAGAGCTCAGAAGCCTCTGAGAATGTATATCATGGTTTTAAAATAACACGGTAAAATAAATTGATATCTGTTTATGACTTGTAATCATGAATAGGTACATACAAATGGGCTTTTTTTAAAGTCCTATTTCTATCACGAGAATGTATATCATGGTTTTAAAATAACACGGTAAAATAAATTGATATCTGTTCATGACTTGTAATCATGAATAGGTACATACAAATGGGCTTTTTTTAAAGTCCTATTTCTATCAGTTTAAGCTTTCTAAAAAGTTGTCATTTTTGTGGAAATCTCCCTCATGCAAATTACCTCATTTCCCATTGGTCAACTTGGTGATCCAGTTGCAATGTCATAGTTATTTTAAATAAGTAAAAAACACCATTTCTGCTAACTATTAGATAAGGATTGGGATCCTTGAAAGGAGAGTAGCCTTTTACCAAACAGGAATTGAGAATCCATATAACTATTCCTTTTTTCTTTTCTCCTGTAGGAGGATCTCCTTATATAGCAGCCAAAATCAATGAAGCTAAAGATTTACTGGAAGGTCAAGCTAAAAAATGAAGTAAATGTATGATGAATTTTAAGTTCATAATAGTTAATGCATATGAGTACCAACTTTTTTAATAAAATACCTCAGAGCCACAGTTTTTAAAAATGATTTAGCACAAGCTAAATCAAAGCCTTGGTATGATTTTCTTGTTTAAATTTCTTGTTTAAGTTTGAAGATTTTAAATCAGATTATAGTTTAGGATACTTGAAGATTAGTACTCAATAATTATGGGCAAATTCATACCATATGAATAGAAATACTGTTCATTACTCATTTAGCAAATAATTTGGTATCTGTATACTCTTCAAGAAGTGAAAATGACAGTCCTTGCTCTCAAGGAGCCCACAGTCTAATGGGAGACTGGTAAACTGGCAATTAAAATATGATATGATGGAATTAGCACAAGTTGCTGAAGTAGGGACTCTTACTAATGTTCAAGCTGTTCAAGGTACACACAACTGGCCCAGCTACTTGGAACCTTGTATTTATTGATTGAATGACCTGATTTATTTTGGGACCTTGTATTTAAAAGTGAGTTTAGCCACAATTTTGACCTAAGAAATTGACTTAGATATGTATATATAATATCACTAACAGAATTGTTTACAGTATTATACTGTAACAGTCTAGTAAATATTTGAGTACAGGTCCTGTTTTTAATCAAGAAGGTATTTATATTGTATTCAGCTAGCCCCTTAAAGATACTGACCATTTACAAATTCCTTTAATTGGTTATTTTTTGACATAATCTTAAGTTCTGCAATTGTTATAACCACGTTCAAACAGTTGGCAAAACTGAAAACCAAAATTCTCCGAATGTTAAAATGTTATGTAGCTTGGACTAGTAAGAATTTATACACTAATAAATTTAAATAACATTTGAAGGCAAATGACGGTTGGTTTAACAAAATATATAAGGATCTTAACCAGAAGACTTATATAAAACATCTGATGTAAACTAGTTTGTGATCTCCAACAGGAGTATTATGTCTAGTTCTGAGATGATAAATTATACTATCTACCATCTAAATCACTGTAAAGTTCTTAATTATTAATGGAGAACACAAGGACTCTTGAGGTAAAAATTAGTGGAGGTAATCATATTTAGTGTTTGCATTTTAAAGGATGTATCTGCTCCTTTAGTTTATTTTCTATCCTATACCCATGGTTAAAATCTGATGAAGTCTACATGTTGTGATTTAGAGTATGAAGCAGCACTAGTTTCTAAAGCTTTTGTATAACGGTACATTTTTTTAAGCCTATTTCCAGGGATAAAGGGGCATGAAGGTACAGTACATTGGTTCTTGTTATTTGCAGTAGTTATGTTCTATAAGTCACTGTCAGCACTGAATTAGCAAATACTGAACCCATTGTTCCTAGGGAAAATGCAGGTTCCTGTGAGTCTCTGGTCACTTTTGTCATCCAATCAATATAAAACCATGTTTTATAAGTGTTTCTGTTTAAAGACAGCTTGCTTATTAATATATACTGTTGCTTCATTAACATTAAACTCACAGCCGATAGCACTATGACTCATAGTGCTTGGCACATCACAGCATTTTTTTCCCTTTAGGAACACTAGCCAGCACTTCACCACTATTCTTGGGAACCATCTTCAACAGTGAAATCACCAACAAAAAGCACAAATATGAAACTTGGCACTTAGAACATGAAAAAGGATACTTGTTTAGGAGAGCTGAAACAAGAAGGCAGAGCACTGCCTTGTTTGTGCACATGGGGTGATTCAAATTTTTTGCCACTCTGCAAATGTTTACAAGTGACCAGGAAAGTACGTCAAGCATCAGTTTTTGAGGTGGTAAATTTTAGTGAGTAGATGAATTCACAAATAAGGAGTCCACTAGTAAGAGTCAGCTGTATTTTGACTGAAGCTTTTATTTCAGTCCTTTCAGCTAATCAAAAGATGTGTCTATGAACAAGAATTTTAATTAAGAATCAGTTAAAACTTAAAAGCATATTTTTCAAAGACAAGTAGTGTGATAATAGGCCACTAGCAATAGAGCATTCACTCTAAAAAGGAAAAGTTAAAAGGTATAAATACTTCTGAGTGTTTAATGCAAATAGCATTGTTTTAAGATAGATGTTAACAAGATGGAAACTACTTTAAAATACTGAGAAGTACAGCACATTCTTTCAAAGTAATCAGTTTTATTTTGTCAGCTTACCTTTTTCAAGTAGAATCCCTATTTCATTGAAGGCTATTAGGCAAACTGAACATTTAAATGTCATCTATGTGAGGAATCTAGATCATAGTGGACCTATAAAAGCAGCTTTATCTTTTAGTGGCATTTTCTTACAAAATACTTGATCTGTAACATGAACATTTATTGAGTACTTAACATGCTAGCATTGTGCTAAGCATTCTCCCTTTATCTTAGTAGACTTGTTACTATGTACATTTACACATGAGGTAACTGAAGTTTAATAGTAACTTGCAAAAGGTGACATGCTGAGAAAGACTAATCCTTCTGAGATACAGTTCTATGCTCTTAACCTCTGTACCATGGCACCTTTCCTAATTCTATGAGAAAGACTGATCCTTCTGAGATACAGTTCTATGCTCTTAACCTCTGTACCATGGCACCTTTCCTAATTCTAAGCATGTTTCCCTTGGTGATAGAGACGAGAGTCTGGTACTTGTCACTGTGCATCTTGCTTGGGCCTTTTTCTTCACCAGTTGGTGCTTACCAATAGACTTTTCTAAAAAGGAGAGGAAGGTCTGATTAAACACACTTAGGGATAAGAGGTGTGGGATTCAAGTCAACTTATGCAATAGCCAGGGAACTTTGAGCAAGTCATTTCTCTTAGGGCTCGTGCTTCCTTGGTAAAAGCAAATTAATGGCCAACTCAAAACTGCAAGGATTCCTCCATTTTTTGACTAGAGAAACAAATGGGTTTCCAAGGTTACACAGCCTAGTGAAATTCAATTAGCACAGGGTGTCTTCTCCAATGCACTATGTTCATTTGTAATTTGGTTCTCTATATTAGTCCTCAGTAGATGTTTGGGAGGAATTCCTATCCATAGCCTTATTATTTATCTGGCATACCCAAGGATTTTGTGTGCCTCAGCCCCTACCCTTTTGCCTTTACTGGGCATCTGGGATGACATTATTAGATGAGTTTTAAGCTGTATAAAAACTTTGCTTTGTTGGTAATGAAAGTGGGCTATGAGTGGTCCTAGGAGTTAACTATCTTTTCCCACCTTTAGTTTTAAGCAAATTCTCTTGCCTTCAAGTATTTTCCAAATGATGGGAGTACTTACTATAGCATTTAAATAAAGAAAATAGTCTGTCCAGTCATGCAGATCTCTACTCCAGAAGACCCAAACCATTCAAAACATATTTGGGATCCCTTGTGTGAAAACAGGTGGCATCTACACCCCTATATATCCTGCTGATTCTTGAAGTTTCATCATGTGGTTCTGCCATTCATAATTTGCTCTAAATTATAAACAGAAGCAAGGAGGATAAAAGCCAACAGCTAGAAGCAAAACCATTGAGAATTGGGAAAAATTAGGTAACCAGCTTCTTAACACATGGCAAAACTCTGAACAAGTTGACCATGCCACACTGAAAAGCTATATTGTATTTAGTTTACTGAAAATGTATGCCCTAATTAAAGACACTCTTGTCAGAAATACTTACAGTAAAATCCACTCAAGCTGAATGCTTAATTTATAGGAATAATAGGATTTTAGGCCACAATGCTGAGTTCTATTTCAATTATGAGAATTTTTTTTCCTTTTTTTTTTTTTTCGTGTCCGGCAACGGGATCGCAACCCTCGGTGTTGCGCCTGCACCTCGCTCAGCCAGTGAGCGGGAACCAGTCTGTATGTTGGACCCGAACCCTTGGCGGGAGCACCACCGCGCTCCCAAGCAGCGCACTGTAGCAGTGTGCCGCCGGGCTGGCCCCTCAATTATGAGAATTTTTAAAGCATTTTTCTGTTGATAACAACCTATAAAGGATGTTTTACAGTTGGAAGCCTGTAGTAGGGTCACATAGAAGTATAAATCATCCCCCTAACATGTTAATTCTAATGAAAATTTAGAACTTGGCTCAAAAACTTCAAAGAATGATAGGAAACTAAATTTGAGTTAAAGTAAAAAACACTATTTAGAATGCACTGGATTTTTGGTTATGTAAGAAATCCTAGACTGCGAGTCACCTTGAATACCAGGAATATTGAATGACCTATGCTCTGCTTTTTGTTGTTGCATTGTTGTGCAGTGTTGTGTATCTGCTTAGAGCCAACTGTTGCCTTAGCAACAGGACATAAAAGAGTTTCTATCCTGTGTTACCTATTGACCAAATGATAGAGTAACAGTCCAGTGTTACAGTGTAGTCTGGAACGTGTTAACAGAAAAACTAATAGGAAAACATTTTGATGAAAATGGCCCCTAAACTAGAAAATTAGTAGGGAAATTTTACAATTAAACCATCAAGTAAAAAGGGTACATACATCCAGAAAATATTTCACCTGAAAAAAGAAAATACCAATCACTGAAATACAAAGAAATTCAAGAAGCTATTAAGTGGTAAACTTAATAGTGGGGCTGTATTTTGTCCGTTTTGGATATCTTTAGATTGCATTAAGTCTGGCTGGAAATGGCCAGGATGGGTATGTATATAAAACAAATACCATTTTAATTCAGCATGATCCATATAAGAATACTTGGCATAAGGTTAAGTGTTATGCAGGATCTGACACATGACTAGACTCAAGTTATAATTGTATTGCAAAGGCCCTCCAGAGGTCAACTAGTCCAGACCCCTCTGGTTGTATAAAACTGAACCATAAAGAAAAAACAGAAAACAGTTGCTGTCCATTCTGTACTTTTACCTACATCATCTTTTCAAATTATCAAAGGAAGCTCTGGTTGTATAAAACTGAACCATAAAGAAAAAACAGAACTAAAACAGTTGCTGTCCATTCTGTACTTTTACCTACATCATCTTTTCAAATTATCAAAGGAAGAAATAAACAAATGACTGTGGGAAATCATCTTTTAAAGCTGCAATTATAGTTTTTCCAGGGGAATTTTTATGTACCTCACTTCAGTACTTGAAATCATAGTATGGAAGATACAAATGAACCTGAATCTAATGTATCTGATAAACCCTTTTTAAAAAATTAATATATTTTCTTACAAATTATACATGCCTCCATCACCCACTAATTAGAGGTTTTCTATATGTTTGGAATCTTTCCTGACTTTCTAAATAATTATACTTAAAAATGTATAATTAGTTTGAACCACAGGGAATTACCAGTAGTTGACCATTTTTTGACCCACAGAAGTAGCAATTCCCAGTTGTTCAACTTAACACCTATTTCAACAATTAGTAGAGTATGGCTTCAAGTTAACACCACTTACCAAAAGTTTGACTATAGAAGATTGCAATTATTGCTTTATTTCAACAGTTCCTGAAATAAAACCCAAATGCTATCACAGATTATGAGCAGCTATAATCTAAAATATTCAAGTGCACACACTAATAAAGGACTAAAATTTTTAAATAGGGATCAGTATACTCACTATACCAGATATCCTTATAAAAAGGTATAAGGGATCCAAACTATAAAAGATGGGAAGATTAAGTGAGACTTTATAATTAACATCCTTTCTCTCTTTTGGAATGTTGCCAAATCTGAAGATCCAGGTCTAATCCAAGTTCCTTGAAGCCTTCTAGAAAATCCAGGGGTAAAAGTAATTTTCCTCTACTAAGATGGGAAGATTAAGTGAGACTTTATAATTAACATCCTTTTTCTCTCAAATCCAAGTTCCTTGAAGCCTTCTAGAAAATCCAGGGGTTAAAGTAATCCCAGTAACCACCAATCATCTGACACAGGACTTTGGCATTATAAATAGCCACAGTTTCCCATCTACCTGCCCTTAATATAATTGTAGGCACAGCCCATGAGAATACTAACTAGATGGTTTGAATCTCAAAAAAGTGTAAACATGCTTGCAGAAGACACAAATGGTACTATTTCCCAATCCAAGTACAACATTTAGTTTACATACCAACTCTACAGAGACCCTCCTCAGGTTACAAAACACTAGACTTACAGCAAACAGTAGCTACAAAAATAACAGTGACTTAGCACAAAGGTGATGGAACCCAGCCATAAAAGAATGGCCCACATGGACACCCAGAACATAAGAGTTAAAACACCAGCTACTTATCACAGCTATGTTCCCCTATTCTTCACTTCTTTTGCCTACCTATCACACCTGTGCTTACTTTTAAAAACCAAACCAAAAACAAAAACAAAAAAACCCTTAATTTAAGCAAACCCCCTCAGCCTTGTCTTAAGCAATGGTTTGATGTGCTGCCTCTCAATTAAAATATGTGACTATTTAAAATGAAGACTTCTGTATATCCCTACTATACTTTTACCAATGATGTCTGACCTATTACCAGAAACATTTGCAAAAGCTTTACTCTTTTTAAAGGCTTTA